ACCAACAGTAATCACAATTCACACAACATTCGGCCTTGATAATGGTTGCAGAACGCATTCGAAACGCGGAGGACAAATCATCACTAACTACAACTTTTACCCGTTGTTCTAACAACGTCAAGACGGCTTATCGACTTCTTGAGAAGAATTCTAAGAAAGTAAACCTACAGACATCGGTCTTGTTTAACAAAATCTGCATATATATATATATATATATAGTGAGAAGGTCAAGAACCTACATAAAAATTGCAAATAGTTGTTATGAACTACTATGTACACACACATATATTATGTATATATAAAGGTAACTACAGTTGTCTTGCATCAGCTTTAGGGATGTTACGATAAAACGTACTGCGCGCGCACACACACACACACAAAATAATTTTACTTACGTTACCATGGTGGGTTCGATGGCGAAATGGGACGTTGTTTCAGGTGCCAGTGAATTCCTATATCATTCGTATAAAGTCATTCACGAAACCTGTATACACATACGACTTCCACTCTGAGAGAGAATTTACTGGTACATATTAATCGAACTACAAATGCATGGGGGATAAGATGCCATTTGAAATTACTTATTTACACTGATCTACATTTGCCGCCATTTTATGTCTGTCTGAAAGGAATTATACGTTTTAATGGATTCTAATAAATACGCTAAACCACGTACTTTAGTTTCGAACTTCATTCTTCCTGAACGAATAGATATTAATTTCACTGAGAAACAAATCTGTAACAGTTTTAGCAGGTGTCCATAACGGCATCCTCAATTGAACGTCTATCGGTATTGTCGTTCCACACCATTAAATTGAGCTTTTTAATTATTTATATAATTAAAGTTGAGAGATGCTTTACTCCCAATCAGATAACTTAAATGAAATGCAATTTTTAATTTTATCTTTCGATATTTTATGCGCCCAGTGAACTCTTATTTTCTTTATATTCAAAATTTTACCTCAATGTTTTTCATCTTGTCGAGATTTGTCAACGTTACGTGGATTCAAGGTGTACTTTATTTTCACTTGAATGTGTTTCTTTCACTATGAGGACGTGATTTATTATAAAGCATAAGAACTTAGAAAATCTTGTTTTATTACAGAACATATTATCGGGCAAGACTTCAGCAATTCCAATAATTTATTATCAACAAAATTGCTGAAGTAAAAAAAATAAAAAAACATTCATTCTTAAAACATTGTTTCAAGCCTAACGTCAAAGGGATTCAACGAAAAAGAACAACCTTCTTGCCTCTCGCCAGTAGTAAAAAAACTAAATGTTAAGAAGCCAAAGTCATAACTCACAAGCAGTTTGTAACACACGTCTAATATTACTAGCGTTTGGATCAGTAAGACATTGGGAATTCCGTTAGCATAGTCTCCTGATCGTTATAGGCGGCTAGCAAAATGTAGAGCCAATTTCTGACGTAATAACTACGAATGTATCGAGGCTTGATATTCAATTGTTTTAAAAGAGCGTGAATTTATCTTAAATACTCCAACTAGCCTGAACTATTACCCGAAACTTTCTATATCTAGAAATTTGAAAGGGAAAGTTTTATCCTTGAAGAAGAATGAATTTAGTATTTATGGTAAAACTACTAAGGCTTTCTGCTGCCGTCTCTATATTTGAACTACTGAACAAAAGAAAGAAAGCCATTTACACTATTACCCACTGCCCATGCTAAAGGATTTACCGTCTCTATTATAACTCACTCACTGCTTAAAAATCGGGAAATCTTTTGTAGTAGCATATAGATTCGAAGCACGTTTCTACTAATAAGGCGTTTTTCAACAAATCGAAACCACCGGGTTATCACACCAAGCGCATTAAAAACACAAAAGCAGAAAGAGATGGGCTATCCGATAAATACGTCGTCTCTGGACTGATTGTTTACTACATTCATTCTCTTTTCTTAGCAGATTACGTTTTTTTTTAAGAATAAGTCAAGTTATATATATTCCAACAATTAAAGCAGTGCATTTTAATGGAGTGAAAAGAGGTGTTGTCAGTTCCCGAAGAATTGCTAAAGCCGGTTACTTCTTCTCCTATATTATGAAAGAAATTTTATTTACAGGTGTGGTTAATTAGCATGTGTCATTAAAAGTGAAAGAAATATTTTAATAAGTGTATATAAGGTATAACTGACGATACGGTATATCCCCAATGTTACTTGAATGCTGTTCCTGATTTACAATTCCCACTACAGTTGTTGTTACTTTTTGTAAACTTACTTTTATATATGTTGGTGGGTATTTGTGTAGAGTGGGTACCGTATCAGATTATCACGTTAAGTAGTAACGAATTGGATTGATTCATCCTCAAATATAGTAGGAATGAATTAAATGCCCCTAAAGTGTGCGTGCATATAGCTGCTCAAATAAAAATACGGCGAATCTTTCAAAATGTTATCTTAAAACTAAAAGTGGCATTTCTTAGAAAATCGAAAACAGCCGCTAAACAAAATAATTACCGAAGTACTTAAGGATATTTGTGATAAAGCTAACACGATTTTATAAAATTGAGAGGAATGTCCGGCTTTGAGAAAACAAAGCAACCAAAATGTATCAGCTAGAAAAGAAATTAAACTTATACTTTCCGTCCCATTTTATTTCAATTAGCTCTCGGCCTTAACTGTTTGGAAAACTACTTGTAAATATTCTTAAAATAACATAGAAATAGTTTCAGTTCGGAGAACCTCATGCCACCTTTAGGACAAAAATACAACTATCTGACTGATAGCAAAATAATATGTTTGTTTGTTTAGTCACGGCATTAGTTTTCGCACATGACCTTTTAATATGTTTATCGCCGTGTATGTGTTTCAAAAACATTAGATTAATTTTGAGGTTTGAAGATATATGGCAAACCGAGATATACAGTGTATAATCCGTAAAGCTTTTCTTAGTTTCATTTAACAAAATTCCACGGACGTAGGGCATTTTGTACTTTTATAAATAAAAACGGGTAGTCAAATTTAAAAAATATATATATTTTATAAACTCCCACGATTTTTTACAACATTGTACTTTTTAACGTAAAAAATAATTTTAGGGCTTTAAATATACATGAACGTAATGCAACACTATGTTAGAGACTATAACCTGTTATCAAGTACGTTTATTTAATGGTAAAATCCCGATATTGAGAAACGACCATATAGCCTTGAAGAATACTTCAGATAAGATCAAATACTCCATGTAAAATACCGAAACTAAGAAAAGCTTTACGGATTATACACTGTATATCTCGGTTTGCCATATATCTTCAAACCTCAAAACGAATGTAATGTTTCTGAAACACATACACAGCGATAACCATATTAAAATGTCATGTGCGAAAACTAATGCCATGACTAAACAAACAAGGCTCTTTTTACTGTCTCCCACTTACCAGCATTTGACGCCTACCTAAAAATGTTATAAGGCATGAAAATGCAAAGGAGCATCTTGAAACATTTTCCATGATAGCACTAATGAACAACTCCTCTCAGCTATACATCCAATTCTTTAAGACTGTGAAGTTAACAAAAGGTTAGAATCTGTTATAAACATTCGGTACATTAAATTATTTAAATACAAGTATAACTCTAAATTATTTCTTTAATTTACATTCCAACTGGTTTTTAAAAGTATAAGTGATAAACCAGAGAAAAAATCTTGTTCTGAATATTTAATTCAAACTTTAAACATCTTGCCAGCACATACTGATCTACAAAATATGTTTACCTTGAAGATAATGACAAAATTTGAATTTTTTAAGGAACTTAAAAAAAATCACTTTAAAAAATGGTTATATCATAGATCAACTACAATTTTCGATAAACATACTAGTTGTTTTGCTAAACTTTTAGTCATATATACAAAAGTAACTATTTTCTTGCTTAAAAAAGTTACCAAGGTAACAATTACAATTCAGGAAGACATAAAATGTGCCTCCATTTTTCAATACAAATATAAAAAAAAAAGCTTAAATTGAGCAGAAAAACTACAGTTATGTTTACGAAAAAAAAAAACAGTATGTTAAATTTAACTGAATTAAATGCCCCTAAAGTGTGTGTGCATGTAACTGCTCAAATAAAAATACGGGGGATCTTTCAAAATGTTATATTAAAACTAAAATTGGCATTTCTTAGAAAAAAAACAGCCGCTAAACAAAATCATTACCGAAGTACTGAAGGATATTTGTGATCGTGTCATATATCTATACTTTTTTTTTTTTTTATACACATGCTCTTAAATTTCAGCTTTATCTTTTTAACTTAAGAAAAAACAAACAGATACTTTATTAAGTGTTTACTTTGAGCTAAACCAAAACTTCTGATGCTTTAAAAGAGCTTTAGTTCACATATTGAATACAGAATGATCATAAATCAGCTCTATTTGAATATCACTTTTAAAAAACCTACAAAGTATGTTTACCAAAACTTGTTTTCACTTTAAACATTAAATGTATTTCAGTTCAAATAAAATTGTTATTAATAAATCTTTACTAAACATTTAACAAAATTTGCATAAATTCCAACTAAATACAAAATGCTAGTTTGTACAAATTGGAGTTTTGTGAAATTACTCTTTTGCTATTTGCATGCAACACTGAAACTGTATATTATGTTTATTGGGAAAACATTACTGGCAAAAAATCAAACCATAATAATCATGTAACATAAACAAGAAGTAAAATTCAACCATCATTTCTTTAAAAAGTTTATAAAAATTAGTATACATGGTTCTAAATTAGCTTCTATGAAGAAGAAAATCTTTTCACAATATGTAATACTTTTACTATAGAACCTATATGCTCTTTTAATACATTTGATCAGCCTTACGTAGTTCGTTTACAGTTAAGATACAATTTTAGTATGAAAACCAATATACAATATTAATTCAGATTTCAAGAAAAAATATATAAAATTTAAACCCAATTTTACACAGTGTCAACCTCTATTATTTTATTAGCTTAACAATTTAAAAGCCATGTTTAACAACATTCCCATAACTGATACTTTACACGTGAACTTTGAGAAAAATCTTTATAGAGTTAACTAATTTAAGTGCTGTAAATCTTTATAGACTAAAACAATGTTGTTGTTTTTTTAAACTCCAAAACATTTGAACCTCAAATGGGGAATAAAATTGTCTGAACATACAACTGCTTAAATATCATACACTTATCAAAAAACAAAGTTTCATGGTTAAAGCTTGTTTACAAAATTGAACTCCAATGGGAAAGTAGTATTAATTTATCATACAATACATTAATAGTTCTGCTATTGATCTTTCTAGTTCTATCATTAGCTATCAACCAATTATGTTAAAAATAATTAGTGATTAATATCAATTCTCCAAACAGTGTTAATGTCACATTTTTGACTTAGTTGGAGAAGAGTATAATTAATTAATTAATAACTTTGAATTAACTACTCATTCAATATTCACTGACACAAGTTAATTCATGGCAAAAAAAGTAACAATAAAAAAAAATTAGCATTGAAATGGCAATTTATGGGAAAACATTTGAAATAATTTATATACATTTTCTGGTGTCAAAAAATATACTTCACACAATCAACATACTATGGATTAATTAAATATTAGATGATCTGAACATGTGTTTTTTCAGATAGCAAAGCCACATTGGGCTATCTGCTGTATCCTCCACCGAGGGAAAGATCCAAATATAAAAGTTGGTTCAAGGTGCCTGGTTAATGTCACCCAACTATAACACAAGTTTTTTGAAAGTGCCATTGTAAGAGCAGAACTATCTTAGCTGAACACCAAGATGTTTCTGGTAAAACCATGATAACCAGCACTATACTTTTTGAGATTGTGATAATTTAATGATACAGGATTACAAGTCTCATTTAAATTAAAATGATTTAATATGCCTGGTTACTGTCAATATCAACATTAAACTTTCAATGGTTGTGATAATTATACTGATACAGTTTGGTGTTCAAACAAAGAACTCCATAATCATACTTCAAGTTATAATTTTTCAATGAATTTAAAATTACTAATTAAAAACATAAATTTGACAAGTTCAGAAACTTGAAAATTCATTACTACTAAGACTTTTCTTAATATTTAGAAATAGTGCTTTGAAATTCAATGTGAAACTTCTTTCCTTATTGAAGTTTACTTTGTTCTTTTGCTCAAACACCCAAATTTTATTTATGATTGTCAGTAGATGCTGGAATTATAACATAAAAACTAACAATGTTTAAAAGCAATAAAATGACTCCTTATCATGCGCAGATCATTAGCACCTTTATAAATATTTAATTTTTAAATATTATAAGTTTCTCTATTGCTCTGTGCACTAACAGTTTTAAACTGTTATGTATAAAGATCTTAATCTCTTTGAATATCCAATCAGAAAAATGCTAATAATGAGGCAAATCAAATAAGGTTATCAGAAAGATAATAACTATGACTGACCAACCACTAAATCTATCAGAAAAATAACTGCTACAAATAACCAATTTAGTAGGGCTATCAAAATATTAACACCTATGACTGACCAGTCAGGCTATGAAAAAAAAAATAGCCATGAATCACCAATCAGTGTGGCTATTAGAATAATATCAAAATTTTTCTCCTAAACTGCATACTTTTTGTAAAAATAACTTTTAATAGTGAGAAAGTTTTTGAGCATCATAGTTCTGATATAAAAATGAGATGTTTCTTAATACTTTTTTTTTTAATTTCTACACAAACACTCCTTGTTTTATGTTTTAACTGTACAACAAACTGCTTAACAGACACACAACCTTAATAAATTATTGCACGAAAGTGTATAACACAACTGCATAGATAGACTACACTGTTTTTACTTCTTTACAAAATCTGTATTAAGAAAATGCCTTTGAAAAAAATAAAACCAACTAGTTTTGAGTAAACTACTACACCACCAAGTGACCAAATTTCTTCTTTCACCCCACTAAAAAGCTAGATAACAAAGGTAACATTTCTACAGAATTGCTCAAATATTCAAATTATTACCAGTGTTTGTTGCAAGATTTATTCTAATATAGACACATAACTAAATTTAAAGAATACATTTCTCAGCCTACATGACAAAAAAAAAAAACAAGAAAAAAAATATATATATATATATTAAATTTAATGAAATTAAAATCCTAATAGTTTTTTCTTGTCTTACCACTTATGAAAATAACATTATGTAGCACTCTTGAAAGATTTTTAACCAAAATATAATCCCACCACCTACAGACAAAATGGGAAAGATCATATTTTCTTGAAAAACATTGTCTGGGGCACTGTAGGTCAGCAAAATGAATTATTCTGAAGTACTTGGTGCTCCTTTCCATATTTTGTTCCTCTCATCAAAGCATAAATAACAATGACTATAAAAACCTGTTAATACTCAATTCCATTCACAAATAACACTACTATACTTTTGCCAAGGTTGTCAAATATGACACAAAAAACTAGAGAAACTGTTGGTTGACATGAAAAGGGAACTTAGCAACAAGGGTAAATCTGTGAAAAGAGACACAGTATACGAATAAGTAATCCTTCTGAAAATAGAAGCAATGGGGTAGCCTCCGACGAAATGGAAACTTTCTTCTTGATAAAACTTTTGATGTTTTTACTTGAATAACTGAACTATATCTAAAATACAATGACAAAAAAGAAATAGGTCATCAAATTAATGATGTCACAAAATATAAAACATATTTACAAAATTTTAAAAACAAACATTCAAGAAATACATTGTTAATAGCAACAAGTGTGTTATCAGAAAAAGTTGCAATATTTCCATGTAAGAGAAATATGGGTTAAACAACAAATTAAGTATGTTATTAAATCACTTACTACCTTAGCTAGCTATAAAATCTGATTTTTATAAACAGGCTTTATACACATTGATACAGAACAGAAATTCAAAAATTAGAGTATGTGGGAACATTCGATTTTTCTATTTAGTTCTTTAAAAAAAAAATTAAATATTATAGTGTATTGTCAGAACTATGTGGGTTCTACTTCATCAGGATATATTTTAGTGTTCCCATTCTGTGGCTTATTCTTTGATTTTATATTAATGTCAATTATGTATGTGCTTCTCCCATTTTTCGATATAGTTCAAACTCAAGTTGAAAGTAAATATACTGTTGCATTATGTTTTCTTTTATATATGTGAAATTTGTGACAGTTTTCTAAACTCATAAAGGATAATGTTTTATTTTAGTTTTTTCAATAATATTTATTTTTGTTCTGCAACTTCATTCAGTTACAATTTGTAGATAAATTAACATAACATAATGTTCAGGGACAACAAAGGACCTATTGGTCCATCTAGACTGTCCCATCCTCTAAACTAAACTAAAACTATTAAAAAAAAAAACCCTCAAAGTCGGCCATTATCAATCTCTCTCTTAAACTCACTTAAATTTACTGCCTCCATAACATCTGAAGGCAACCCATTTCAAATGTCAACCACCCTGTCAGAAATATAAAACTTTTTTTGGCTAAAGATGACTCCTACCCTGCCAAAATTTATATTTGCGCCACTAGCATTCTCACCACTAAGTATGAAAAAAGATGATACATCAGCACTATCAATTCCCTTAACAATCTTAAACACCTAAATCAGATCCCCTCTAACTTCTAATATCCCTCCTCTGAACCCTTTCCAACAGTTCAACATCCTTCCTAAGCCTCTCATTCAGCCCTAGTGACCTAATTATAATTTCATCCCCACAAATAATTCTAGGCAGTAGCCTTGACTCAATTAGGTTATTACCCTTTTCTTTAAATGCCTTTATCAAACTCTTGTACTTATCAATTACTTCTCTAACCTACCTTTCCCTACATCATTAGCTCCTATGTGCACAAGTAAAACTGCATCATTAGTGAACAAACAGATTGTTCGGTTTACTGTGGTTTTTTCACTAACTGCTACACACGATATTGTGTTCTTTTATTATAACTGCATCATTGGTAGCTCCCTTTATTATATATCTTGCTCTGTCAGTTATATCCTCCACCCTTGCCCCTGGGTAGCATAATCTAATTCTTTTCTCCTTATTTACCCTACAGACTACCCTATCCACATGCCTTGTCGAAGAACCACCTATAATTATAACCTCCTTAAGTTTATCATTCACATCCTTCTCTGTCCCTTTTGTTTTCCTCCTCTTCAATTGTTCCTCATCTGCACAAGTCAAGGGCTGAAATCTGTTGCTCAACAGAATAGGCTCATTACAATTAAATCCTCTACTTCTAACCCTAACAGTACTGTTTCTAACTTCCTGAAAGTCATTGTTAGCTGATATATTCATTGCATGTAAAAGCTTAAGTTCCTTTTTAAATCCTGTTGCCATTACAGTATTTTACCACTACCTTATCTTCAAACTTAAGTAATTAAGTTTATCTTTAACTATATAGAAGTGACAAATAACTAGTCTTTACAGTCTTTACTTGAGTCGATATTTATGTAATAATACAATATATTTAGCCTGGTTTATAACCTACCTATAAGTTGAATTTAAACTAATGGATTTAAAGTAAAGTAATCAAGTTTATCCTAAAATCATGAAGAGACAATCAACTAGTCTTAAGATTGTACTTGCTTAATAAAATAATGTATTGAACCTGTTTTATGATTTACTAATAAGTTGGATTATAGCTAAGCCTAAAGTACTGTTACACATCATATGCTTAATCTAATGTTGTCCTATTTCAGTTTCACACTTGTTTTGGATGAGAAGTGTTGAAATAAATCTGTTATAAAAAATCAAGCAAAATCTATTAAATCTCTAACCAAGTATAAAAATACTGAAAGATTGTGGTTAGTACCTTAAGGCCTTGTTTACGAGCAGGAATTGCAGGAGACCTAGGAGGTTGAACCGTAAGAGAAAGACAGTTACTTGTGTCCATCTGCTCCTCATTTTGTCCCATGGGTGGGGCAAGACTACTATTTTTTGTTGATTCTTCAAATGCAAATGGTTGAGCTACTTTACAAGGACTATTATAGGATAAAAGAAAAAATGAGAAATGCAAGAAAAAATTAAAAATGAATAAATTTGTCGAAGTACATTTATGTGCCATACATGAAAAATGTTTGGGGTATATTAATGTTTGGTGTTATTAAAAATGAAGGAGACAAAATATGTCTAAATAAACATGATTTTTTATATATTTTTTCTTAGTCAGTCCACTGACTTAAGATTTTCTCATTTTTCCAAATTAACATTTAAATGTAAGTATAATGAACAATACTAAGATATATAAATACAAGAACATAAGTTGATAAAAGTGCTGTGAAAAAAAAGGCATACAGTACATGATAGCATGATATCTTTACCCTTAAAAACACATTCTTTCTTTATGTATACAAAAACTTTAATACACTTGAAGTGCTTGCATGATGCCAAAAAACATGATAAAGATTCTACAGCATGTCAACATATCAGATAGTTTGGACTGATGCAGGTCTACTCTAGATACACTGTCCTGCTAACAAGTAAAAGTCTACAATCTCAGTAGTACCATGAATTATAAAAAGAAAAGATTAAGTAATAGACACTTAGACTCAAAACTGATGCTTCAGGATAAACACAAATAAAATACAATCATTAGTAGCTGTGAAAATCATTTCTTGTCCAACTGTCCTATATGAAATATTTTTATAGTCTATAACCAGTTTGATTTTGCTTAAGAGGCCATATATCTCTCTCTCAATATAAGGGTGATAAAATAACTTTGAACTAACTAGAACTATTAGTGATAAGAACTATTAGTCTTCACTTTGACATACTGTTAAATATATATAGCATTCGTTTTCTTCCAACCTTATCAAAATATAACTTGCTAAATTTCAGAATGGTCATTCAAAACTGTTTGTAACACAGTTTTAAAATTTCTGGTAGGGTACACTGAAAATCTTTCACAGATTTGCTTTGTAAGCTTGCAACATAAGACAAAGTAAGATGTATTTTTTTTTTTACTTACATGTAACTCCAGGTTGATATGTTACATCATTTGCTAAAAACAATTTCCTTTTTTAGTTCCACAACTGTTTTTACTGTATTATTTATATGCATAGAACTGATAAAAAAGTACTTCTTACTATTTTACCTGTTATATGACACACTTTCAAAAGTAAAGATCCATGACAAGTTACTATAAATTTGCCCACATGCCAATGCTAATTCTGACAAACCCGAAAAGAGGCACTAAAGATTACTCTCTCTCAATACAGAATATTATGACATATGCCTGTGTACTTGTAGTGTAACTATACACTGCAATGAAAAGATATTGACCAGTTGTTTGCTGAATTTCATCCAACCCTATGCCAAGATAATTTGGAAGTAACAAAGGAAGGCAGGAAGTCAACACCACCCAATGCCAACTCATGGGCTACTCTAAACAAATAGTAGGATTTGGCCTTAATTCTTATAATGCACCCACAGCTCCAAAGTATAGTGTATGATTTATTATTCTGGGGGTAATAATGAAGAATATTGACCAGGAACAGTAGTCTAGACTTTAACATCAGGGGGAAGGTAATGAGGACTCAATACATAATAAAATAAAAGAAATAAAAAAGCATTGAAAATATGTTTGAACAACACATGGTTATTTACTTTAAAAAAATTCAAATTCAAAAAGACAGAAATAGTTTTCATCACATCCGTTACAGGTGAAAAAAAAGAGATTAAGAAAACCAGTTTATATATTTCTATTAAAGAAATGAAATCACAACATTCATATCTATCTTCAACACCGTTATTATAATCATGTCATCGTCATCTTTTGTGGTTCAGTTGGCATAATGTACCATCTCCACTCCATTATACATACTCAGTAAACTTGCAACAAAGTAAATCTTCTTGTCACTGTTAGTTATACAGAAAAGTGATAATGTTCACACACATTATCTAGAAAATTAGTAAGACTCTCAACCCCAATTATAAGAATTAGTTAGGAATAAAAGTTTAGAATTATCTAAAAGAATATGGAAATACATATTGAGTTTGTAAATCTATCTAAAGATCAATTACTTAACCCAAGTGAAGATTTTTTTAATATCCTACATTTTTATGTTGTGATTCACTGAAGAGTCCAAAAAAACTGCAACAATGCCAAACCACTGAATTGAATTTGATGCTATATCAAGAAACACGTCAATTTCAAAGTGACTGTTGAGCAAACAGTTTGTAACCAAATTTATGTCACTTCAGTGAAAAAGCATTTGACCAAATTGCTCACAATATACCTGTAAGCTTTAAAATGACAATCCAGTGTTGTCTCAGGTGGTTCCTGTGTTAAAAGATATGAGGAGAAAAATGAAAACAACATGCAGCAATTACCCTTGCCACATATTGAAGAGCAGTGCTTGATGACATATACCAGTTAGCTGAGATTTTGATTTTAATCCTGTCCAATTAGCAACCTTTATGTTGAGCCAAAGATATAAATGTCAATACTTGTAGGAAGATGAACAGACTGAAGGCAATGTCATAATTATGAATATATCTCCAACTAAGGAACAGCATTACCACTTGTCCAATCAACAGGAAAAATCAAAAGAAAGACGAGCAGGCTGTGGTCATAATCCCCAACCAAGAATCAATACTACCAAGTGTCCATTCAACAGGGAAACCCCAATTTTGTTCTTTCTAGCCCAAGTGAACAAATAGTTAACATACATTTTCTAGTAATCAATCTTTTTAATTATTTAGTCAATTTTTCCAAGATTTTTTGTCAAAAAATCATATATTAGCAAAGATATTCAATGAAAATGAGACTTACAAGTTACACTGCCCAGTGTCAAGTCAAATATATTTTTCTGATAAGCAGTGCATTACTTTGCTAGACTTTATATTTTATTCTAAGACTTAGATGAATAAGAGCAGAAAAATCTTGACTAATCATTCCTACTCTGTCTCAAACAAAGAGAAGAATGTTAAATTTAACTATGAAATGGAGTGAAATAGTGCTTTAATACATAGATGTTAAATGTAGCTTTCAAAAACGTGAAAAGAATGTTAGAAATACATTTCATGTGAATGAAACCATTTTAAATTAGTTAGAAAATAACTTTTGTTGCTTGCGTATGTTTAGTGATAAGTGTATAAAAACTTTAAAGCTGTTTTATAGTAGGCTTTCAAACATCCAAATTGTACGTGTGTTTGTGTGTGCGTGTTTATATATGCAAGTCTACTTTATCTCCACTGATGACATCACCAAAATAACACATTATCCAATTAAACAACTGAACATAAGTTCTTGTTGAAAACTCATAAATTCCTAAAAGTAACTTGATAGTTTGCTTTGTCTTATGACTGTGTTTTGGAAGAATACAGTTAACTTTGTATTGTTGTTGTTTATTAGTTTTTAGTGCAAAGCTACTGAGGTTCTTTGTACTTAATATCTTTAAACAACAAAAATAATAATAAAAGTAGTAAAAAATCAAAAATGCACAAAAGCAGAAAAGCCAGAAACAGGACTGTTTTTTAAGAGAAAAAATTCATATGCTCTAAACAGTGCCATAATTTCCAATGACAAAGCCAAATTTCAAAAGAGTATACAACTAACTCCAATGTTTGGCCAATCTCATACAACTTTGTTTGGTTACAAAAGCCCAAAGCAGGGATAGCTGATTGTCTATTTGCAAACAACATGGCCTACCAAGACAAAAAAACACATGGCTTGGTGGAAGAATGTGATAAAGAGTAGTTTTACAGCATACTTCCAAGAAAGTTGCAAGTGGTAACTGGGAAATGGAAGTTCATAAAATTACATACAAACTCTGGACTAGAGAAGTGTGGAAAGCCCATAAGCAAACTTGAAACTTCTAATGATGCACAGGGTCCAATATGTTTGTGGGTTGCATATGGATAAGTTATAAAGCACAAAGCTACACAAAGGGCTACTTGTGTTGTGCCCACCACAGGTATCAAAACACAGTTTTTAGTGTTATAAGTCTTGAAAGTTACTTCTGTGCCACTGTGGGGCATCCAACATGCTCAATACAGATTCTCTGGCAAAGGCATAGACTAGAGATCCACAGTCCAGTTTGGATTAAAAGAGGTTACAGTAAATCTGGATCATTGAAAATCTGTTTGATCATTCCTGGGATTTGAAAAATGGATGACAATATACTAACACTATATATATATATATATATATACATAGGAAAATATTATCTGCTTGATCTGGTTGAAAAGAATTGGATGGTGATCAGAGAGGCAAGTTTTGGTGTTCAAGACACAGACTGATTAAAATGTTGAAACAAACTATTCACTCTGGTGGGACTTAAAATGGATCTATATTTTCCCAGGAGAATAGACACAAGTTCCAGAGTGATGAGAAAAGCATTCTCCAAGGTTGCTAGTAATTCCCTGAAAATCATCCACTTCTTGATCAATGGACACCAAGATTGATAGTTGAAGAAATGCATACTTCACAATCATCCTCCAACTTTTGTAATAGATGCCCTTTGCAGTAGTGGTGGAAGGGATCCTGGAAATAAACCTGATCCACAATTTTTTTCAATTATGGTGTCCAATCTGTCAGGTTAGTAAGAGTAGGATATCTACAGAGGGTAGACCATGCTCTTTTCTGACCCCACCTTCTTTTCTGGCAGTAAGAGATTCACTGTAGACAAGAAAACAATGAGAAATACGTTAACATTTTAGGGATAGTAAGTGTAGCTGTATAAATAATATGCTCTATTGGTACTTCTACACAGTCATTTACAGATGGTACAGACAAGTCAGGTTACAATGACCACATTTAATCTTGCTCAAAGTGACAGGAAATGATCACTGCCACAAGCATCAACCTTCCAAGCAAAAAGAAAAGGAGAGACAAAGTGAACAAATGGGCAGATCAACAGATAAAAGCCTGACTTGGAACATGCAAGTAGGTGGGATCTCTAGTGTTCAGTAAAGAGAGGTTATGATTGAGAGCACATGCTCAACAGAACTACTTTTCACATCCATAATGCCACCTCTC